AGTGAGAAGAAATATTATTTATTGATTTCTTTTAGATTTCAAGAATAAGTTAAGAGAGAAGTCATTTATAGGTTTCTTTGTAATTTATTCATTCGCATATTCTTCTATTTATTTATATCTTTTATTCTTCTATGAATTTGTAATATTTTTACAATGAGTGAGAAGAAATACTATTTGTTGATTTCTTTTTAATTTATTCCCTCGCATATTCGTCTATATTTTTCTGTATTCTTCAAAGAAATTGTAAGATTCTAAAAATAATTGAGAAAAGATGTTATTTGTTGGTTTCTTTAATAATTTATTCACTCGTATCTTCTATTTTCTTTTCTTTTATTCTTTTATCAATTTGTAATATTTTTAGAATAAGCGAGAAGAAATATTATTTATTAATTTCTTTACAATTTATTCACTCGTATGTTTTTCTGTGTTTCTTGTATTTTTCTATGAATGTGTAAGAATTTTAAGAATAAATGAGAAAAGATGTTATTTATTGATTTCTTCAATAATTTATTCACTCGCATATTCTTTTATTATGTTTTCTTCTTTCTCGTACTTCATTATGATGTAGAATTTTAAGGATAACTGAAGACAGGTGTTATTTAATAGTTTCTTTGAAATATATTCATCTTTGAAAGACATTCATCAATAAGTTTGTACTCTTATGTGAATTGGTATTCTCCTATTCTCTTTTTGTATTTTTGCATGATTTTGTAAGGTTCTCAGGATAAGTTTCCTCGTGATCACTGGGATCTAAGAAGCACGCGATTGTATCAATAACGAAGTTGAATCGCGATGGTTACGCTATCAAGAATCGATTTTTATTAAATATCGTCCTTGTAACATTTCTGCACGCGGATCGTGTGTAATCGTGAGTCTCGGTGTTTTCTAAATCTGGCACATCGGATTGACGTAAAAGCATCGTTGACATTTGAGTTTCCTCAAATGGGACATACTTGAAATTCTTATCGGATGCAAGCTGTGTTGTACATGGCTTTTTGTTTCCCCCGAGCATCGGTAACCGTTGTACACTGACGTTAGGAACCCATTACGTCGGAGTCAATAAATAGTTCTCATTCTCTTGCATATTACGAATTTTTTACGAATTTCTGTGAATTTCTACTAGTCGCTGTAAATTTTTATCAATTTTCCCAGATTTTTACGAATTTCTGAGAATTTCTATGAGCTGCTGTGAATTTTTACAAATTTTTTCGAATTTCTTACGAATTTTTGTGAATTTCTACGAGTTGCTGTAAATTTTTATCAATTTTCTCGGATTTTAGAATATATTCTGAGAATTTTTGTGAGGTGCTATGGATTTTTACAAATTTTCTGGAATTCTTACAAATTTCTAAGAATTCCTATAAGTTGCTGTGACATTTTACAAATGTTTTCGAATTTTTACGAATATCTGTCAATTTCTACGAGTTGCTGTAAATTTTAATCAATCTTCCCGAATTTTAGAAAATATTCTAAGAATTTCTATGAGCTGCTATGAATTTTTACAAATTTTCGCGAATTTTTACCAATTCCTGAGGATTTGTATAAACTGCTGCGACTTTTTACAAATTTTCTCGAATATTTACAAGTTCCTGAGAATTTTTATAAGTTTCTGTGACTTTTTACAAATTTTTCCGCATATTTCCGAATTTCTCCAATTTCTTTTCTCGAATTTTCCTGATGTTTACGAATTTCTCCAATTCTCCCAAATTTTCCTTATCTTTATAAATCGCTACGTATTTCCACGAGTTCTCACGAGCCTCTATAAATCTCAATAAATTTTTATTAACTTTTACAAGCCTTTATAGATCCTCAACTTTCGTTAAATCTCTCGTCAAATCCACAAAATCGCGAAATCTATGTTTGACGAGTCTTTACGAGATTCGTATTGCATAAAATTTTTCTTACAGCGAAAACAAACGTCCAATTTATTTCCCGCTAATGTAGATAACTTTCCACGAGACTCGAAAGCAACTTTCAGTCATTTCCAACGATTACGAGACAATACAGCCGACGATTTATATACGTTACAGCGGAGTCATAAATCCACAGAGCAGATTGCGATAGAAAGGGCAGCGACTCGAATCGATCAAACGATTATGCTGAAAGTAACAGTGACTGATATCGAATCTCGCTACTGAAAAATCAGAAAACCGATAATTCCAGCAGAGACACAGCGCGAGAGTGATCAGAGTGACAACTTGACGTGTCGATTAGTACCGTGATCGAATCGAAGCTTTCATAATTTCACAGGCTTTCGCTGACACCTTGAAAATCGTCCATTAATACTCGACTCCGTGAGTAGAGGACTATGATGAGTCGATAAGCAGGATAAATCGTACTGTCGTCTTTTAATCATGCGATTAATGTATGTACAGGTACGATGTTAACCCTTTCAACACTTGAGTTAATCTTAATTGTCTTCGATATTTACTTTTCTGTTTGTAAGGTAGTTTTCTTCGTTGACATGCACTAGCGCCATCTATCTGGAGGAATCAATCCACAATTTGTCGCGTTAATATATTCAAAAAATTAAGTCAAAAATTAAAATTCCTTCTACTTTTTACTCTCTTCTTCCTTTCTTTATTTTCTGCTTGACAATTAAGTCTCTCTTTTAATTTGCTTTCAAATTTTTTACTAGTTTTTCTTTGGCTTTATTTTATCTTTTAATACGTATTTTATTTCAATCTTTGTTTTATTCTTTTGTTTCAAGGTTTTGTACAGTATTTTTCAGTGAAACGAAAATTCGAATTTCTTTATTATTTTTGATAGTAGAATTTTTGGAAACTTTGGAAGCTTGGAGTTGGAGGCTTCGAAATTATTTGATTCAATGTTTAATATTTATTATTAATATTCTACCGATAATGGTATTTAATATGAATGTTATTTCTTTATACTAAGGTATCCTTGGTGTTCTTTGTATTTTTTGTTTGATATTAGAAGTTTAGAAATTTTGATTTATTTGGAACCTTAAATAGTGAGCATTTTGAGAACGATTTTATTTATTTTATCAACGTAATTCGAATTAATTGAAGAATATTGCTATTAAATACCGTTTCGTTGAATAGTATTTCTTGTTAGTTTCATAATCAATTAGATATCCTTTATAGAAGTGTGAGATTATGAAAGTGTAACACGTGAATGCCTAATCATCTCATGCATAATTGACAGAGGCTGGAGCAATCAACCTGTTTTATTTCAAACTCTATACACACCGAGCTGGAACCAGTCGAATCACAAAGAAACGATCAAAACGAAGATATTAAATAATTACGATATTAAAAAAAATCATTAAGAAATTAATTAGAATTTTCAGATTCCTCATAAAAATCAATTTCACTGGAAAAGATTGAAAGTTTCGATTAACCAAATTAGTCTTATTAGAGAGTAGTGCATACTTTTTTCATTCTACATTGTTTGCAACTCTATTACTATATTTTCTCTGTAATTATGAAAGTAGTCTAAATCAAAATTCCGAGAGAAATAATTTTATCGTGTTACACTGGTTCGCATTACAATACAACAAAATTATTCTTACCAAAATAGTAACAAATTGTATCGTTACATTGTTATAAATAAAATTATTAATTTTTATTACAAATTTTTAAACGATTAACTTTATCGCGAATTAATTTTTGAATCCATGAAAAATATGTATCATATAAATAAGTAAATCCATTTGATCGTCAACATATTTCCAATTATATATTTGTAACATGCTAAACACACCAATATCTATGCAAACAACGCAGGTATTCAAATTCGATTCAACAAAAAATGTAATCTCGTTAAAAGCTTTTCTCGTATCTCCGATTTTTTCAAATTATTATAATTCCCAAGAATTAAAAGACAATATATGTGTACAACAAAATCAATCTACACAGTCAGTCCACACCATTGTAACAAGTATACGGACAACCTATAAAATATTCCTAAAAATCGCTATAACCTGTTCCCAACCTCTTTACCTCGTACCATCTTCAAGAAACATTAAAAATTGTTCCCAAAGATTTTCAAAAATCGCTGCAGGCGATCACACAATTCTAACAACTTGTCCCAAACGTCATTATTTCATACCATCTTCAAGAAACATTAAAAATTGTTCCCAAATCTCGATCAAAGATTCCCAAAAAATCCCTGAAGAAGATCACACAAGTCTAACAACTTGTCCCAAACCTTTTCACTTCACATCATTCCCAAGAACTATTAAAAATTGTTCCCAAATCTCGATCAAAGATTTTCAAAAATCGCTACAGAAGATCACAACACAAGCCTAAACAATCCATCCCAAACTTCTTTACCTCATATCGTTCGCAAGAAGTATTAAAAACTGTTCCTAAAATCGCTGCAGAAAATAACATTAGCCTAACAACCTGTCCCAAACCTCTTCATCTCATACCATTACTCAGAAGCATTAAAAATTGTACCCCAATTTCGATTAAAGGTTCCCAAAAATCACTGCAGAGGATCACACAATTCTAACAATCTGTCCCAAACCTCTTCATCTTATATTATTCCCAAGAAATATTAACCCTTTGCACTCGACGACTTTTTCGTTACAGAAAAATAGCAATTCGAAGACTTTCTGTCATAGAGTGGACGATATTTTTAAAATGGTAAATGAGAAATCATATGCAAATTAAGACGTAGAATTATTTTTCTTTCACATTCCACACATCGTTAGGTAATTTTAAATTTGATATATTAAATGCGAAGTCTATCACACGAGTCTAACGACCCCTCTCAAATCTCTTTGAAATATATCATTCCCAAAAAAGCATTAAAAATTCTTTTCAAACCTCGATCAAAGATTCACAAAAATCGCTGCAGAAAATGACACAAGTCTAACAACTCGCCTCAAACCTCCTCGCCGTCTATCATTCGCGAGAAGCAGAAAATCTGTCGAGGAAAGCTGACAGGAAGCAAAGAGATTCAGCAGTCAGTCTACAGAGCGGGACCCCAAGAGCCCAGACAGGGTGAAGATGAGGAAAAACGGTACTCACGGAGTTCGGCGATGGCAGCCGCAGTCCAGCTGGCAATCAGGAAGAATCCGATCAGCAACGTCATCCTGCTGCCGCCTTTGTGTCAGGAAGACGTGATCTATGCGCACGGATCGAAATTAGCGAGAGCGATATTGAAAATGCGTGCGATGGCCCGCGCTGCCTGGGTATATATAAACTAACGGCACTTTCTCCGAGTGTACGCCGCCCCACTCACCGTGATGGTGAATTTATCACGGTAGAATGCCTCCTTTTAACTCAGTCAGGGCCGTAGCCACGCATAACGTCCTGTATTTTGATGGAATTCCAGATGCCTAGCGCGGGACCGCTCCACGGTAGGTCAGCATTGTTCTAGCCGCGAGTCGCCATTTTGGGGAACACTCGAGGATGCAGCGTTCTTCGTCCTTTCCCGATTCTTAGGGTGTCTCGATTATTTCCTGTCGCGTAGAAGCAGAGGATTATCACAATTCTGCTTTTATATATATTGTACGATTATTTTTCCTACCTTTTTATTTATTTATCTTTTTTATTTTCTTGGGTGGGGGGATTGTAGAATTTTTATTGTACAATCCCCCCTCTCTTGTCTCTTCTATGGGGTACCTTGTATCGTGTATTCCTTGTTTCCTGGAGATAGCAGGATTTTTTACTGGCCCGGTATGCGTGTATTTGAATTTTATTTTTATTTTTTGGTGGTATTAGAATTTATCAGCTGTCAGTGTGTCAATTTTTAACGATCATTCTGGATTTTCTTTTCTTACTTTTTCGAGATGAGAGGATATTTGTAGTATCTTTTTGATAGATTATTTGGGATATTTTTCTTTCTTTCTATTGGTGAAAGAATTTTGATTGTATTTCCTTGGTTAAATAATTTGAATATTTTTTATCCTTCGGAGGTAAGTGAACTTTTTTCCTGGCTACGTTTGATACGGTACTTGGGATATTTTATTTTTACAGAAGCAGAACTTGTTTCTGCTTGATAGATTATCTTGAACATTTGTTTTTCCTCGAGACATAACAGGATATTTTAATTATATGATCATTGGAATATTTTTTAGATGTAGCAAGGTTTTTTACGGTTTCTACTTGATAAATGAGTAGTAAAAATATGTTTATTATTTCAAGTCCTAGGTTGTTTCGAATAATCTTTATTTTCTGAAAATTATAAGACTTTTGTTTGTTTTTAGTTTAATATGGTACTTTGGATATATCCTTTTTAAGCATAATTCATATTTCTGATAGAGGGTCTTAGTGTAGGGGATTTTGAATATCACATTTCCATTTTAAATTTCAATCTTTTAGTTTCATTTATTAAAATAATTTTTTATATTTGTTATCCCAAAGAACGAATTTTTAATATTTCTTGTTATTGTTATTTACTGAGGTTTTTAAAGTTCTTATGTCTGTCCTGTTTATTTATTACTTGCTTTGATTGATTACGATGCATGAATCTGCAAAGAGAAATTATCGAAACCTGTGCCTTTTAATTTCAAGGACTGATTTCTCTTTTGTGATTCCACGTAATAATCAAATTATAGAAAATTCACGTACAATGATAGGTTTATTCAAGCACGACGATATTCATTCCAAATAATTGGATAATCTGCGCTTCGCTTTTCTTCCTTATTGCATTCATTTGCATTGGTAATTGATTATTATGTCAGAGACATTCGAAAGAGGTAAAAGTTCGACGACTGAAATTCGACCAGTCACAACTTGGTGAGAGTGTTTGAAGAATCTTCTCATTAAGATTCTGAAGAATCTTATGCGAATCTTTAGGCACAAACGTCGTCTTAACAATTTAAACAAACATAACAAAGTAATTATTTATTCTTGTCAAAATTAATTACAATTAAAATTATACGGTTTTTCGAAATATCTTCACAAAGATGAAATAATATGCAAATTATGGCAAATATCGATAATTTTTTATCATTTTTATTATAGACAAAATTATTTCAAAGATAAAATATTTTTATTTTAAAAAATTGTAATTTATAAATGAATTTTTTTTTTTATTTCATAGTCGTTATAACATTTGAGGTTTAACTGAAGACTGATCAAGTATCACGGTCGAATTATGTAATTTTCACGAGTTATACAATTTTCACGCTTCCTCATAGGCAACTTTGGAAAGTAAAAACCATTCATTATTCAAAAGACTCGTCCCAAATCATAAACTTCAAAGTAATCGATTTTACATCTACACGATAGTGGAAAGAATATTATTAAGTGTTACATGAAACTTACAACAGTAACGAAGCTTCGAAAATAAAATTATACTATTACTAAATGAAGCACCAAAAAATTCGATTCAGGAGAAGATAGAATAGAAATTAATTAAAATAAATTAAAAATAAATAAAAATAAATACCAAATAAATAAATAAACAACAACAAAGCTTGGAAAATAAAATTCTCCTATTCGTAAATAAAGCACCAAAAAATACGATTGAGAAAATTTTTATATTCAATAGAAAATAAAGTAGAAATTAATTAAAATAAATTAAAAATAAATAAAAATAAATACCAAATAAACAACAATAACAAAGCTTCGAAAATAAAATTTTTCTATTCGTAAATAAAGCACCAAAAACCACGATTGAGAAAATTGTTATATTCAATAGAAAATAAAGTACAAATTAATTACAATAAATTAAAAACAAATCAAAGTAAATAAAAATAAATGAAAAATTAATCTTCGCTGTCCACAAATGGATACATTTATTAAAAAATGGAGATAATCGAGAAACGACAGCAAAGGAAAAATCAGTGAGTAACAATCCATCAAACAACGCGAATATAATTTCTCTGTTTAATATCAATTTGAATTTTTCTCATCGGGTAATTTCTTCCGTCAATTACCGCTTCCTTTAACGACATCCTCGCGTCGTAATTTCTCTCGTCAATGGTCGAGAATCGCGATAATAATTCTATTCTTGATGATTCGTCGTTAGTCCAACAGGTTGCGCGTCCTTGTAAATCGCGCCTAATATTTCCTGTAATAACCGGCGGTTTCGAAAGAGCGCGATAAAGAATAATGATCTCTGCAAACAATCGTTCAGAAAATTCTCATGGATGGGCGTAGATGGATCATAAACGGCTTCGTAATCGTTTGCTCGCCACATTTGGGTCACAAATATCGCGAATCACACTATACTCTCAGGTGTTTCGTGGAAAGTTTCGTACGTGCAACTGTTAGGGTATTAACAACGAGAAACGAGAAAACACGTTATCTGTAAAAATATTCAGCCGTGGTTCAAGTGTTAATGCCTAAATTGCCTTTTTGCGTTTACGTACGTCGAATATTACGCGAATATTTTTATTTGCTGAAGGCGTGTTTCCTTCTTCTTTTTAAATTTCCATTATTGTCTTCCAGGTTTAGCGTTGAATGAAATTCGACGAAATTGTAGATGAAAATAATTTGAGGAGATAATTTGATAGACAATACAGTAAAAATGAGAAACTAATGAAAGATGGAAAGTTTTAGACAGATAATATAATAAATAATAGATTAAAGAACAAGAAATTAATGATAATATAGGGTGTCTCATAATTCACGCAAGATTTGAATTTAGCGCCATTTTTGAGGTAACGTGTTATCCATAAAAAAAAAGACAGTGACAATTTTGACAATTCAGGCTTATTAAAAGTAGAGTGATACATGAATGAAAAATGCATCTTCATTGTTGAATAATATTTTAATAATAATTTTTAATTTAAAATTTGTTTTCTATAAAATTTATTTCTTGCGTATTGCGAATTTTGGGACACCCTTTAGATGACAAAATTTTACATGCAACAGTGTACTAAATTCTATGAATTCTAATTATTCAGTAGATCAATCTTTTTATTTCGTATTTTAAATTTATACATTAAATGTACTTATATATTAATATTATATATAGCATATTAATACATTTATTATGATATATATATTATTTCTACAAATATTCTTCTCAAACATAAATCCCCTTAATTTCTAACTTAAATCCTACTAAATCCTTAAATTCTTTTAAAATACATGCATCTGCTATTATTATATGCATTGCAATATAAGTCAGTTCTAACGTCTTAAGGTACACCACACATAGACTACGCTAAATTAATCAACCCTTTCGTTCTAATACAGACTTCGACTATCATGCATAAAACTGTGGCCACACCATCTTCGATCATCATCCAAAAGAAGACTCCAGATATCAATATCGCTCATAACTATAATCGAAATTTATTATACACCTGACGAACACACGACTGATATTTATTTTATGGACACGCGTTACATTTAACATCAAGACTATCCAGTCAAAATAACCATTAAAAAATTGTAATTAATTTTAATTAAATTTTAATTAATTTTAATTAATTTCTCCTTACTGCATTCTTTTATTTCAATTTAGAAAAGGAATCTAATTTAAAAAAATTAATTGATTTTCTTTTTTAACCTGACTGCTTATAACAGGTGTAGTGTTCGTATAATTTTGTCATGTAAATATCGAAAATCTGCAAACCTCTATTATGTAATACCTGAAATATCCCAACAAAAGGGTTGAAAAAGCAAACTATGAATTACCTTAATCCCATATGGATCTAATTATTCCACAAAAATCGATCAAAGATTCCCGAATATTTTTATCGTAGATTTAATGTAAGCATGGTGACCAAAATTATAAAAATTATTCGAAAAATTCACGTAATATCTAAAATCGTGTTAGATCCCAAGTATCTAATTCTCAAACCCATATCGACATCGACGAAAATCCGAGGAGCAAATCAAGATCGCCCAATCGATCAAAAATTGGAAGAAAAGATCTATAGAACCTTTCGTATCCGCGAAATTTGTACGCGTTTGACAGCTACTTTCCCTGCAGACTCGTTGAATTTCCCAAATGCGATTATGTAAAATGAGAGAGGAATCCTGGCTGGTTCCGCGATTGGTGCAAATGGTACGTAACGTTCGAGAACCCGTTTGCGAACCACCGCAACCGCACCGTGACACAACTCGGGGCTGCATGGTCGAGTTTCCGGTGCAGAAGCAAAGGTCGAGCGTGGAAAGCACGTGAACCGAATCGCTTTGATCTCGGGTAGACTGGAAGTTCGTGTTTTCGAGCCGAAAAATCCGATTCTGGGAAAGGATAGAATTAGGATGTCTGTCTTGGACGGAGAAAGCGACGCTTGGAAAGGGAATTATAGTGATTTCTCGTGCCCCGAAGACTTAGTTTGCCCTCTAGAAGTTCGTGCTTTAGTACTGAACTGAGATTTTTTGAAAAGAACCAAATTTCTTATTTTTGAGTCGAAAAATCCGATTTTGGAAAAGGATAGAATTAGGATGTGAAGGAGAAAACGACGCTTGGAAAGGGAATTATAGTGATTTCTCGTGCCCCGAAGACTTAGTTTGCCCTCTAGAAGTTCGTGCTTTAGTACTGGACTGAGATTTTTTTTGGAAAGAACCAAATTTCTTATTTTTGAGTCGAAAAATCCTATTTTGGAAAAGGACAGAATTAGGATGTGAAGGAGATAGCGACGCTTGGAAAGGGAATTATAGTGATTCCTCGTACCCCGAAGACTCAGTTTGCCCTCTAGAAGTTCTTGTTTCGGTACCGAACTCAGATTTTTTGGAAACAATTAAATTTCCTATTTTGGAGTCGAAAAATCCTATTTTGGAAAAGGACAGAATTAGGATGTCTGTTTTGGGCGGAGAAAGCGACGAAGGGGAATTATAGTGCTTTCCAAAGACTCAGATTGCCCCTTAGAAGTTGGTACCTTGGTACTGGATAAAAATTTTGGGGGAAAAATCAAATTTCTTTTTCTTTTTGTGCGGTTATATTAAGGAGATTCAGAAATTTGGATCGAGAAACTAAATCGAGTAATCGAAATGGGAAATAGGGGCACGAATTATGCTAATTAGATTAAACCATCTTAAAGTGTGTAATACATCTTGCGTATGTAATGTGAAACGTGTGAGTAATAAATATACGTGTGACATTTTATAGTGGTTAGTGTCAGCTATGTTACAGAAGTTATGGTATATTGTTATGGTTATGAGTATAATAATACTAATTAGTTAACGATTCATTGGTAGTATAGTCAACGTAATAAATAAATAATGCGAATAAACAAAAACATGCAATTATTCATTAATAATCGAGAAGATTGCTTAAAGAAATGTTATATATCGCTTCGAGTGATCTCGTTGTAAGTCTTCAAAAATTTTTAATAGTTATTGTTATTTAATCCTTCGAATATTTTCATGTTTCATATAACGCTCAAAATAACCATAAACTCCTCGTTTACTTACCCTCGAATTAAATCGCTTAATTAAACTCGTACTATTATCTAGAAAATCCCTCTGAGAGTGTCAAACAAATCCAAAATTCTCAAAAATAAAGATCTTCATCCCAATTTTTAATTTCCCTAATTACCAAAGCCATAAGTTGTATTCCATTCTCAATAACCTATTCACTCTTAAAATATTTTTAACCCCGTACCATTATCTAAGGAAACCCTCTAAGAGCATCACACAAATCCAAAATTCTCAAAAATAAAGATCCTCATCTGAATCTCTAATTTCTCTAATTACCAAAGCCATAAGTTGTATTTTTAAAATATTTTTAACCCTGTACCATTATCTAGGAAAACCCTCTAACAGTGTCAAACAAATCCAAAATTCTCAAAAATAAAAATTCCCATCCCAAACCCCAATTTTTCTTATTACCAAAGCCACAAAGTGTATTCCATTCTCAATAACCTATTCACCCTTAAACTATTTTAACCCTGTACCATTATCTAGGAAAACCCTCCAACAGTGTGAAACAAATCCAAAATTCTCAAAAACAAAGATCCTCATCCCAATTTCTAATTTCTCTAATTACCAAAGCCATAAGTTGTATTCCATTCTCAATAACCTATTCACCCTTAAACTATTTTTAACCCTGTACCATTATCTAGGAAAACCCTCCAACAGTGTGAAACAAATCCAAAATTCTCAAAAACAAAGATCCTCATCCCAATTTCTAATTTCTCTAATTACCAAAGCCATAAGTTGTATTCCATTCTCAATAACCTATTCACCCTTAAAATATTTTTAACCCTTCTCCTATTTTCACAATAAACCACCTGATTAAAAAGCCCTACTCCTTCAAAAAATCTTCTTCCTTTATGACATTAGAATAATTCAAAAATCCCTGTCCTAAATCCTACCTTTCTTGACTCCCAAAACTACAACAAACCACTTTACTCTAAAATAATCATAATTCCCAATATTCTCATTTATTCTAACAATTAATCTTCCGCTGAAGACCCCTTCGTCAGAACCCCTTCGTCGTTTAACAGATCTCCATCTGTAACGACGTCGAGCAAACGCGAACATCTCGAAGACGAGAACCTCGATCCCATCGAGCAGTTTGCTCCTCCTAAGTCCTTGATCCGCAATAAACCACTCCACCCTCGCAGGAAAGAATTATTTTGAGCACTATACGACGATCTACGTTACACAGCTTGGACCTGTCTGAGTCACGAAAGTCCAGATGAACGGCAGTCTGTCCTCGACTGCGGGCTAATTGACCGGAAGGTTTTTGTACATCCTGTAAATCATCGCGTCCGCCGTTTGGTCGCTGAGGGCCTTGGTAGCCAGGTCGTCGGCCAACATGGCGGCTACCGCCTCCGCAGCCATCAAGCCTACGGACGAAAGTCAATCGTGAATCTATTATTAAGCGAGTTAATACGCTGGACATCGCGGATGGATGGCTCATGGGGTGCATTAAGACGTCCGCTGAAAGCGGACACGCTTTTACCTCGCTCCATCGATGTCAATACACCCGGCCACTTTTACTTTCTTCCATTGTTTCCTAGTAATGCGCCAAGCATGGCGGCCTGATGGCCAAGGAAACGGATCCTCGTTGCAAACGAAGCGAGGCTTTGGCAAAATAGCTTGGTAGTCGAGGTGCTTTGTCGAGGAATAATCGATCCGGGACGGTGGGAGTTGCAATAGGGTTTTATGGGATTTTTCTATAATATATCGCGAGTGTCTAAAGGGGGTTAGAATAATTTGACAACTCGAAATGGGCAATTAAATATTTTTCCAATTGGGAAATTTTTGAGAATTTTCCTATGACAAGTATCGTTTGGATCAGTGATGCTTAGGATATAGGAGTATTGTATGATGTATTAGGAATGTATGATGGTATTATGATAATTTGAAAATTCGAAATGGGGAATTAAACTTTTGAGAAGGTTGTATGACAAGTATCGTTTGGATCATTGATGCTCAGGTTATGGGACTTTTGTATAATATATTGCCAGAGTTTATTAGTGTTATGATAATTTAAGAATTCGTAATAGGGAATTACAGTTTTGGGAAGGTTGTAAGACAAGTATCGGTTGGATCAGTGATGCTCAGGTTATGGGACTTTTGTATAATATATTGCCAGAGTTTATTAGTGTTATGATAATTTAAGAATTCGTAATAGGGAATTAAATTTTTGGGAAGATTGTATGATAAGTATCTCTTGAATCACTGCTGCTGAGATTATGGGATTTTTGTATATTGGAAAGGTTTCGTTAGTGTTATAATAGTCATGGGAGACTTTGAAAAAATTTGTGACAAAGGAAAATTATGAAAATTTCTTAAAGTTGATTAGATCAGTGGCTGTGAACCTTATGGTGTATGTACTATTGATGGTACATTGAATTTTTCTACATTTTGTACATCATGGTTTAGATCAGACATTTGCAACGTATATTACACTCCTGGTGGGTGAGACGAGCCAAATAATATTAAATTAAAGAATTATGCATAATGCAGTATCCTACAGAAAGGACTCACCAACTATGATACAAAGGAATACGTGACTTGATTATATGAATATCAGTAGAATTGTTTTCAAAGGAAGAGATTGAGAATCGCTGGTTTAGATTCTAGATTTATTAGATTTAAAAATCTAATAAAATTAAAAGAAAATATAAACAAAATTAATTCCATTATTTTGTTCCATTCCATTGAAAATGAGAATATGAATTAAAAATGGTATCTACAATAATTCACAAAAATTTTGCCAATCTTTTAAAAGAATACTAATTGGAAATGGTACCTAATTTATAACAATTTCATAATTTTCCAAAAAGGTGCGAATTAACAAAATCACTCGATTCATGATAATTTCATAATTTAAAAGAAAGTGGGAATTGAAAATGGCACCTAGTAGTATTGTTTCCTTAATATTTCTAAAAACCATTGTCAAAGTGAACATGCAAATTACGAAAAGATGCGAAAGGTTATGAATAAACAGTGAAACAATAGGAAAGAATTCATCGATTACACGTTTCACCCTTTTGAAAGGAAGTGAATTTTCTTTCAGTGAGTACCATGTGTTATATAACTGTACGCACGTACATGCACTCGACGTTCCGCAATTTAAGCATGGAACATCCAACTTGACTTCGTCAATAGTCAATAGCAACTTTTAGATCGACTTACGTCGCTTTCCACCGTAGAATTCCACTTTTCTCCAGCGTTTTTCACGACACCTGCTAATTACGGAAGAACACCGGTTCCGTGACGTAACGAGAACAGACGAAGGAGCTTTTACATAATGTCTCGAACCGGCTTTGTTGTCGCTTGCCATTTCGACTCTCATTCTCCTTACCAATTTGTTCACGTCCACGAATTATGTCACTCCTATTATCCCAATTTTTCAATCAATCCAAGTAACTTCACCCAATATTCTCATCAATGCAAATTTAATTTATGGAATAGCATAATTTTTCAATTTTAATTAATATTCGAATAGCTATTTGTGAATTGATTAACGTAGTTTTTGAATAAACCCATTTTTAATATTTAAAATTTAATTTATGGAATTTAGAAAATTTAATTAGCTAAATTTTCAACATTTTCTTTTGTTACAATTTTGCTAATTTAATTTATAGAATATTCTATATTTTATTGCATTTATTATTTTGTCGAGTATTTCTTAACTGATTTACTTTGATAACGATATATAGAACATTTTGTTTTTTGATTACAATTTTCGTAATCATTTTTTAAGTCAGAATGTCAACGAGCTGGAAAGATGGATAACTTAGAAAATGATCTTTCCTCGAGGAAGTGGGACATTTTTTAAGTGGATCTTACGTAAACTGGCACCTGTGGCCGCAGCTAGAGGAACGAAGGGTTAAGTGAGGTATACGTAAGATAAGAAATACACTCACCATGACCGATAACCGATTTCACTGGACCCTGCTCGTCCATTCCCTGAAAGGAGACCTTCTGCTCTTTGGAACCTAATTTGCTCCTTGCTGCACGAACGATTAGGACGTCCTGGCCTCTAGCTTTCTTCATTTCAATCGTGAAGTTACCAACCACCTCAGCTGCAAATTACAATACTTGCTATTCCTTTGAAATAAAATAAAATAAAATATTTCATTTTAAATGACCCAGATTCAATCGTGAAATTATCAACCTTCTCAATTACAAATTACAATATTTGCTACTCCTTTGAAATAAAATAAAATAAAATAAAATATTTCATTTTAAATGACCCACATTCAGTCGTGAAATTATCAATCTTCTCAATTACAAATGACAATATTTGCTACTCCTTTGAAATAAAATAAAATAAAATATTTCATTTTAAATGTCCGACATTCAATCTTGATGTCACTAATTTCCTCTGCAGCAAATTACAATATTTGATATTCCTTTGAAATAAAATAAAATAAAATAAAATATTTCATTTTAAATGACCCACATTCAGTCGTGAAATTATCAACCTTCTCGACTACAAATTAAAATATTTGCTACTCCTTTGAAATAAAATAAAATAAAATAAAATATTTCATTTTAAATGATCCATATTTAATTGTGATGTTACCAACCATTTCAGCTGTAAATTGCAATACTTGCTACTCCTTTGAAATAAAATAAAATAAAGTATTTCCTTTTTATTAACCCATATTAATTTTATAAATTTCCATTAATAAGTGAGAATATATATTTATCTCTCTCCATCGATGATTTTGAAGACTCCTAGAATTTATTGCACTTACCACTGAGTTCACTCACTCATTAAAATGCCAGGATACACTTTTGTACACCATTTCAGCTGTAAATTACAATACTTGCTACTCCTTTGAAATAAAATAAAATAAAATATTTCCTTTTTATTAACCCATATTAATTTTATAAATTTCCATTAATAAGTGAGAATATACATTTATCTTTCTCCATCGATGATTTTGAAGACCCGAAGAATTTATTGCACTTACCACTGAGTTCACTCACTCATTAAAATGCCAGGATACACTTTTGTACCTTTTTTAATTATATTACAAGTGTACCTTCCTCAACATTATGAAAAATTGCGAAAGTTAATCAGCAAAATGAGAAAATGCATTTATTTTTTTTCTATGAACGATCCTGATGATTCAAAGAGTCTACTCACTGAAGTTGCCATTGAACTGTCCACTTCCTCTCACCGGTTGCTGTCCAACCTTCCCTATCAGCTGATAATCCGACTTCACGCGAAGCAGAGGCACCCTGATCCTCATAACAACGTGCATCACGTCGTCCTTAAAGATTACGAGCATGAGAAAAATTCGGTGAACAATCCAGAGACACTCATCAAAAGGTACGAGATTTATACTACTTATACTATTGTTCCCATTTTTTAATTTTTTGATATTTTCTGTTTCAGATAATTTTGGAATTTTTACGTGAACGTTTACTATAAAGGTAAAGAAAATGACAAAATCTATATTCTTCATCTATATCTATTCTCTTATATTTATAAATCTATATAATCTATATTATCTATATTTAAATCTATACTATTGATTATGCTTTTTTATCGTTTCAGCTATGGTACATACTCCTGGTCCATTTTCTCAAATTTAATTATCAATAAATTTTTAGAAAATCATCTTTTTGATTATAGTGGAATTTTGTTAGGGGAAATCTATCGATACATCATCTCAGATTTGTAAACTATCATTTTCAACTTTTACCAATCTGATTTTTATATTTTTCATATATATTTTACCCAGGAACAGCTAAGAGGTCTATATTCCTATCTTTTTCTTTGTATCTTCAAAATGGTGGAAATCTCTCACTGGAAAGCTATCAATACATCTCATTGTCAGATCTATGAACTACCATTTTGATCTTTTATCAATGGAATTTTCGTATTTTTATATTTCTAATACGTGTTTTCCTCAAAAATAGAACAGTGGTTCATGTGATACCTTTTCCATTGTATCTTCAAAATGGTGGAATTCCTTTACTGGAAAGCTATTGATCCACCAACTCCAATTTAGGAACTATCTTTTCCACATTCTACCAATGGAATTTTCGTACTTTTGTATTTATAAAATGAGATTCCCTCGAAAACAAAACAATGATCGATGTAACCACCTTTTCCACTGTATCTTCAAAATGGTGGAAGCTTCTCACTAGAAAACTATCGATCCACCAACTCAAATTTAGGAACTATCTTTTCCACATTCGACCAATGGGATTTTCGTACTTTTGTATTTTTAATACGCATTTTCCTCGAAAACAGAACAGTGGTCCATATAACTACCTTTTCCACTGCATCTTCAAAATGGTGGAATTCCTTCACTAGAAAGCTATTGATCCATCAACTCAGATCTATAAACTACCTTTTCCATCTTCTACCAATGGGATTTTCCTATTTTTAAATTTCTAATACGCGTTTCCCTCGAAAACAGAAAAGTGGCGCACGTAACAACCTTCTTCCCTAAGAAGAAAAGAAGAAAAGAAGAAAGTGCTCACATCGGTATCATTTCCTCCATGAGCACGCTTGTGCCTAGCGCCCTGGGCGAGTTTCTCCTGGCCAGGATCCTTAGCATCCATCCCACCGTAATGATAGACCAACTGCATCCCTTCCTCGAAGTATCCTTGCTTCTCCTGATAGTTCCTCGCGTATCTGGACAAGCCATCCAGCTTCTTGGCCTCAGCTGCAGCCTTAACTGCATCGTTCCTCTTCGTCAAGGATTCTCCCTCGGTACAGTTGCGACTAATAACCCGTTTATTCTCGACGATATCCTGTTTACATAAGTTAACTGCCTTATTGCAGCCACGGGAGAAAAGATGAAGGTATAAAGGTGGACTTGTTAACAGGAATATCTTATGGGCGAAGGTAGCGATAGCAATTTCTGTTAGTAAATTGCTGTTATGGCGCTCGTGGCTAATGAAACCCGCGTGAAATTGCAGGATATGAGTACTTGTTACTTTCCTCGTGATTTATCTAAACGCTCTATTGTTTCTTCCTAGTTTTCTTCCAGGCTTTTCTAGCGCAATTTTCGGCATTTTTAAGCTTCCTTCCGAGCTGCTTGAGAACCACTGGCGGTACTCTTCTGACGGTAGAGGTATTGCGCGTGGACAGGTAACGATAATTAAAGTCCCACGGTGAACATATATAGGTATAATTATCTTCCTACCCCAATGAAAGCCTGCGATAATTTAACTAAAGGCAAACGCGTTTCTTTAAATGAAAAGTCTGCGAAATCTTGGCTAATTTGATCATTCAAGTGCTGAACGTGATACCTCAGAGATTCTTGGGATTTTGTCAGATTCTTACCTGATTTCAAAAGCTACTTTGCAAAATTTTTACATATTAATATATATTAGAAGTTAGTACGTATCGTTAACAATTATTCAAGAAATTTGTAAGGCTAAAATTTGTCTGGAATTAATACATAAATAATAATTTAAGATAATAACGCAGCCAAGTTAATCCTTGGACCTCATCTACGATCTCGAATTAATATTTATCAATAATAAGAATACATAAATTCTCGAAGATTAACAGTTAACGAAAAATTATATCATTATCGCACCAATTACGTCAGCACCAACAGGAAGCTATGGAAAAGTGAATTTTATCTCCATCTATATCACTTTCTATTGTAAACTCGCATCAGAAGTAGCAAGAAGACGTAATAGACTTGCATCAAATGAAAAAGGAACGCACAAAATTGCATTCTCGTGAAATAAATTGTCAAATTAATCTTATCCCTTCCTAGGAAATATTTTTAAGACATTTAAATTTACTCCCTTTCGTACCTTTGCGGAATCCCTCACGGCAAACACTCTGGCATCCTCCTTAGACTCGATCCTGTCGTTTCCGAATCGTCTCACGCCGCCATTTTTCTGTCCATCCGCGTAGACGATGTCGATATAACCTGGCTGCTTCTCCACACGCTTGGACTCTTCACGGTACACCTGTTGCCTGCCAGTGTACCCAGGAACGAAGCTGTGAGCCTTCGCTGTACTCTCCACGTTCTCAGACGCAGAGGTCTCCGCGTCTTCGTGACTCTCCTGCGTCCTTCTGTTTCCAAAATTCTCACTCCTTTGACCCTGCTTACTCTCCTCCCTGCTCTGACTAGCATAATAAGCCGGCCTGGGCCTGCCGAACACATCCTTCTGCTGGTAGTTGCCCGAGTCCAGTCCAGAATTCATGGCACTCATGGCATAGATCATCTGGACGTCAGAGGGGTACCTGATATTCTCGATAATGCGACTGGTCTCCGATTTCGAAAGGACTTTCGCACCCTCCATGCTGAAAGGCCCGAAACTAGTCTTGTGTTGGGTCTCACGATCGTTTGTAGCACGATCGGTCACGGGTTCCTTCATCTTCTCTGCTTGTATCTTCATCAAGAAGGGATCGTACTGTCTGATCCTCTCGAACTGGCTCTCCTGCTCCCTGGGACTGGCCACGAGCTTGCTCTCCTGATTGGTAGCAGAGACTATAGCCTCGAAGCTCTCGTTCTGCTGTTTCGGTTCCTTGATCAGCGTGTGGAACCTGTATCTGATCGAGTCCAGGTCCCTGAGGTCGCTGTAGCTCACGTAGCCAGCCTCTAACTCGCTCAGGTTCGACTTCAGTCGACCTCGGTCTATGTGGATGCTGTCCAAGGTAGACTCGTTCAGTCCAATGATCTCCACGTTCCTCAGGATTATCCTGTAGCTGGTGTTACCTTCGGATTGGTCCACCTTGATCACTGGGACCTTTAACGGGTCTAGTTTCCCTGCCTTGGAGAAGCCTCCTGTCAGAAGCTTCGTCCAGAGCTGCTGGGACATCTCCAAGAGGGATCCCTGGCAGTTTGCCAGGGCTAATAGACTCAGAGTTAGGTATATTACAATAGTAACCTTCGACATGACGTGTATTTATACTTTTTTCCTGGGATTAGTACCCTAGAATCGGATGTTCGACGCTTCAGTGTCTCTAGATTCGTTTGACTATGTTTGATGACACACAGACCCTTGAAAATTGGTCAGAAGTCTCCTAGAAGGCTTCTATTCCACGGCTTGTACCTCCCAGATGTAAACAGGCTTGACTAGCAAGAGAACCACAATGGCGACCACGACGAAGAGCAGCAAGAAGCAGAAGAGGGCGGCGCACATCAACACTTTAGCCCCTGGACCGACGATTCGTTGCTCCTCCAGGCTGTTCTCGATCAGTCGCACACCCAGACCGGACTACCGAGTCCCTCCACAGACATTACAGTCACTGTTAAGCTATTCGATGTGTTCCTCTTCGGGCGTGTGCTCGTGCAAAAGCGGCGATCGCGAGTGGATGATGCGTCTGGCCGACGGTTTTATACAGCTACGTGGAAGGGCACAGGATCTGGGCCATGGACCACGGATTCTTGTGACGTTCGTTAACTAGGTGATCTCTCTAGACGTGTGTATACCTTCTTCTCTCCTCTTCTAGTCGCTCGGCCAGCGTCCCCTCGCGTTTTGCTCCCGTTGCGAAGCTATAGAGGGCAAGGTCCTTCCCCGACCTTAAGTGGAAGACGTTATGGTGGCTCGCGGGTCTAAAAAGCCGCAAATAGCGCCGCAAATAGCGCCACTGGAGCTGTTCGATGTGATGTAATCGGTTGTTCTTAAATGTACATCGCAGCGGGTATGGTACCCGCGACTCTGCGCTTAATGGCGAGCTTTGTCGGTGGTTTGGGTGGGAAGGTCGCTGCAAATGTCTCTACGGGGTTGTGCGATGACGGTTTTTGGGTGAAGGTGAGGCTAGGTTTCGATGCGTGATAAAGGAGCCGTCGAAGGAATAGTTGAAATTTTCTGTTTCTCGAGAAAGTAAGGTGGAATAATTGGTCGTTGGTGTGGTTAATTGATCTGGTAATTAGATCATTCGTTAGCTGACAGATCCTTTTAGCTTGGGAAATTTTTATAATACAGGGTGGCTGCTAAAAAATAGGATACTGAATGACATGAAATAAAAATAATTTGTACAAACACAGTTTCTTTAATTTTCTATTATTTTATTTAGAAATATAATTAATAATTAATAGCTTTCAGTATTATGCATGAAGAAGAGTATACCCCAAATGACTATACCGTTTTCCTACTCACAAATACTAACCCTTTTCACGGTATTTTCAATTTTTCTGTGTTCATCCTGTATAAATATCATTAGGAATGTGAAGATTAAAAATATATATCAATAAATTATTAACACACTATATCTTGACTAAAATTTGGTTGATTAATTAATTTAAATGTCCAATAAAAATATAGCACATATTATTTATGAAAATATATCAAATTTTTAACAATCAAAATTCAATCAAATTATAATGTGTTAATAATTTATTATAATAATGTACATGTACAAACAAAAGAATTGGAATCAATATTGTAGAACCAGCATATACTATATCTTTAATTTTAAATGAAACCGATGATTAAGTTGCTTTAAAAATAATAGGGATTTTATTTTTATAGTATTTTTGCATTGTGGTGGAAAAGATAATTGTAATAATACAATACTTTCAAGATACCCGGTATGTAGATATCAATGCATCTAGAACGTTCTAATTCGCGATGAATCGTACAGAAAATCATGCGATCTACGTAGAAAGAATCCAGGTCTGACTTGAATTCTGGGTAAGGTTGAAGGCTAATAAACAGCCTTCATAATATAATACTTGGATTTATATCCGAGATAAAGAAAATAAAAAGGACGTAGTCTCGAAATTGAATTAAGAATAATAAATAGAATAAAATTGAAATCATTGTTCACACAATTTATGATACTCATTGTGCAATGATGATGCTCAGAAATAATATATTTCGTGGCTTAAAATATAAAATTCGTTAAATTTGGAAGAAATATAAATTAATTAAATTTGCAAAAAAATGCAAATTTATTAAATTGTATATTTTAGTTGAAGCGAATAGAGAGTGTTTTATTTTCTTCAGCATCGTTCTTGAAGATATGTCATCGAAGTGATCCATACTTGGACGAGTGCATAAGACAGAGTGTGAATTCTTTGAAACCATATTTGAGACACGGAATACCAGCTCTTCGAATACCACCGTGTGAACCGCTTCATCTAGAAGAGATCGAGATCGATCAATCTTCCGGTCCAATCTATATTCGTGCAAGGTACAACAACGTGTCCATATACGGTGGCAGCAATTTCGTGCCAAAGAGCATCAGGTGCGTTCCTGCATTCTAATTGATATTTTGCTGTATGGTGTATTAAATTATCTACGGTATCTATAGTATATTAAATTATATATTTCGATTTTGGTATATTAAATTATATTCTATTTTAATTATCTACTTTGATTTTGGAATATTAAATTATCTTTTATTTGAATTACTTATGCCTTGGTTTTGGAATATTAAATTATTTTCTATTTGAATTAACTATTTTGACTTTGGTATATTAAATTATCTTCTATTTAAATTACCTATACTTTGATTTTGGAATATTAAATTATCTTCTATTTGAATTACCTATACTTTAATTTTGGAATATTAAATTGTTTTCTATTTAAATTACTTATGCCTTGATTTTGGAATATTAAATTATCTTCTATTTGGATTAACTATTTTGACTTTGGTATATTAAATTATCTTCTATTTAAATTACCTATATTTTGATTTTGGAATATTAAATTATCTTCTATTTGAATTACTTATACCTTGATTTTGGAATATTAAATTATCTTCTATTTGAATTACTTATGCCTTGATTTTGGAATATTAAATTATCTTCTATTTGAATTAACTATTTTGACTTTGGTATATTAAATTATCTTCTATTTGAATTACCTATACTTTGATTTTGCAATATTAAGTTATCTTCTATTTGAATTACCTATACTTTCATTTTGGAATATTAAATTATCTTCTATATGAACTACCTACTTTGATTTTGGAATACTAAATTATCCTCTATTTGAATTACCTATTTTAAGTTTGGTACATTAAAACATCTATTTTGATTTTCTACTACGACAAATTATCTATACATTTCTATTTCTCCTTTCCATTTTCATTTCTATATTTATTACTATTACTATTTAACACGATACTCTTTCAGCAGAAGGGAAATTCCAAATTTATTTAAAAAATTTGTAATTAATCAATTTGAGCCTACTTCACAGGAAATGCTAATCTTTCTTCATCAGGGTCGACCTGGAAAAGAATCTTATCAGACTGATGCTCTACATCCCACGGCTAGAAATGGTGGCGAATTACATAATGGATGGCAGGATCATGATGTTACCCATCACAGGAAACGGCCTAGGACACGGAAACTTCACTGACATCGACGCCATCGTCACCCTGCAGCTGGGACGCTACCAAAACGAGGCAACAGGGTTGATTCACCAGGCGGTGGGTGACATCTACGTGGATTTCGATATAGGTTATGCCACTGTGCATCTGGACAATCTCTTCGACGGTGACGAAACGCTTGCCGGTGCCATGAATCTCTTCTTGAACGATAACTGGAACAGCGTGATAGCGGAAATCAGACCCAAGTTGGAGGAAACTATAGCCACTCTGGTCAGAGACTTCACGAACACCATCTTCTCAGTATTTCCTGAGGATGTGCTATTACCACCATGAAATGCTACTTTTATCGCCTTTTTGTATATAAAATAATTTTGTAAGTTTTTACATGGTTTTTTATTTTATGTAAATGTATATGTTAAATGTGTTTATTTGGAAATTAAGAGAAAAGCTTGCAAATATTTTTGGACACCTTTCTGAACTTCGTATAGGAAACAAATTTGATGATTGAGATGATTGCTTCATTGGAATTTGAGTTATTCGTATTACTGATTAAGCGATTTTAATTTTAATAAGGGATTTTTATATATGGAACAAAAGCAGAATTTTTTGGATCATTTTCTTTTTATTTTTAGTTTAATCGTGAAAGGAATGTTTTGTTTATAGAGTCTTCTTTGCATTTCTTCTGATATTATTGTTAAAAATATGTTTAGATATTTCGAAGCTTCTTCTAGATTTTTATGAATTATTAAATTTTGCAATTAACTATATGTTATTTTGATAAAACGTATTGTATGATCAGTTTTCTTACGCGTGAACCTAAACGAAGATAACCAGATGACAGAAGTGCAAGCTGTAAAACTATGTTGCAGGGGCTATTAAAATCAGCTATATAATACTGAATGCAAATGTTTTTATATTTGTTACACGAATTTTGCAATAAACAAGGAATATTATAAAATTACTCATTTTTCACATTGCAAATTTTTACATGGTAAAATTTAGAGACTCGAAAATATTTATAACAAGATAATTAATAAAAATATTTCCTTTCAGTTGTTATATTTACCATTTTTATTAAATATTTTTGTCATCACATCAACGATATGAAAACAAGCATAAATAGTAATATTTATTACACGAATATTACAATAAACAAAGAATATTATAAAATTGTTCACTTTTCACATTGCAAATTTTTACATGACAAAATTTAGTGACTCAGAATTATTTATAATAAGATAATTAATAAAAGTAAAAATATTTCCTTTCAGTTTCTATATCCGCCATTTTTATTAAATATTTTTATCATCACAGCAAAGATATGAAAACTAGCATAAATAGTAATATTTATTACACAAATTTTGCAATAAACAAGGAATATTGTAAAATTACTCACTCTTCACATTGCAAATCTTTACATGAAAAATATTTTTATCATCACAGCAAAGATATGAAAACTAGCATAAATAGTAATATTTATTACACGAATTTTGCAATAAACAAGGAATATTGTAAAATTACTCACTCTTCACATTGCAAATCTTTACATGGCAAACTTTAGAGACTAGAAAATATTTATAATAAAATAATCAATAAAAGTAAAAATATTTCCTTTCAGTTTCTATATCCGCCATTTTTATTAAATATTTTTATCATC